TGCCCCGCGGGAGCCGGCTCCGAGTGCGGAGCGCTGCCCACCACCTGCGGGGCAGCGCCGCCCGCCCGCGCAGCGCCCCTGCCCCGGGACTGGCGGCGGCGGGGCCGGGGCCGGGACCGGGCGGGAGCGGACGGGCTTACCTGCACTTGGGGCTGCTTTGGGTGACTTTCCAAGTCAAGGGAAATGTGTGTTTGGGATGGAGGCAGCAGCGCGCATGCGCCATCAAACTTGCCCTGATCCCGGATTTTTCCTCCTCGCGCTCCCCTTTGCTTTGATTATTGAATTTTCCTATTTCTAACAGGACGGCGGGCGTCGCGCAAAACCCGGCCTGGAACCCGCCGCCGCCCGGCCTGGCCCGCACGGGGCGGGGAAGGGGGGAGCGGCGGGAGGGAGCGGGCACGGAGCGGACTCGGTCTGCAGGCAGGGCAGGCAAGGGAGAGGCGCCTGCAAAACCCGGACCGGATCGCCCTCCCCTGGCAAGGGAAAAGGCGAGAAAGTGTCCCTATTTCCCATCCCGCGTGGGCAGCTGCCTGTCCCCTACCGCGTCCCTGCACGAGCGGTTGCTCTTCCCCATCCATTCTCCTTCCCAGAGAACTACTGTAAGTTTTATAAAATTTTCTATTTTGCAGCCTGCTGACCCCTGCTCACGTTAGTTCCCTGAGACTAAACTGCGTAGAGATGAYGAATAGCTAGGTTGTGCGTACTGATTCTCCAGCTGATTTTCCTAGGCATGGTGTTCAGTTGCTATTTTACAAACTTCTAGACTTCAATACTTTTCTTTTGCTAATGTTCTTTGTCTGGATTCCACACAAGTTTAGAACTAACCATTGTCTCGTATCTAGAACTGTAGTATTTTCGCTTTGCTGGCAGTTACACACAGAAAATGCCACAGAACAGGCATGCAAGCCATGAGCAAGCCTTGTAGACTGGGCTAGTTTTGCAGGATGTCCTTGCAGGATCAGAGACAAGAGTTTGCATGACACCTGAATTTCCAACAGGCAGGCATCACATTTCTGTGTTAAACTACTTTCCCCAGCTCTACCTTTTCTTTCTCAGCTCTACTTTCATTTCACTGAGACAGTGAGTATAGATTACAGTTGCATGTGCACATTTTGTGGTGGTGATTCCATAGAACCATCCTCGGAAACGTCTTCCTTCATCCCCTGGTTCCCTCTAGAGGAGCCAAGAGCCGGGGCTCAGTGGCACCATTCAGCACTGGGGTTTGGAGGTACAGCTGCCTGCCTGCCCAGGCACTAGGTCTGTGGGATGGCTCTGCCTCCATTGTAGGGCTTGCAGGATTTGGGCCCGAGGTCAAAGCTGTAGACTCTTGGATAATTTTTGTCATTGGCAGCAGGGAGCTCCACGTCAGCACACCCACAAAGAAGCCCTTGCAGGAGCATCTTGCGCTTCCCATGCGCTTCCCTGTCTGTGTCTGTCTCCACCTGTTGCCTCTTGTCCAGTGCTTACACCATCAGCTCTTTGGGGCAGAAACCATGGTTTTGCTCTGGATTTGTCAGTGCTTTGCACAATGTGGTCCAGGTCCATAACCACACCTCCTATGCACTATTGCTACACGCATAAGTAATAACAATAATTAATAATAATAGGCTAATTCCTCTGATTTTGATGTGACTACTCATGTGAGTAAAACTGACTCACAGACATGAGTATTTGTGGGACCACTGCCAGCTCTTGAGGTTTTATTGTGAGTCTTCCAGTATTTGGTGCTCTCTTTTGATCCCCAGCTCCTGGAATGACTTGTTTCTAGCACTTGCGTTTACACAAGGAAGCTTGGAAATGTGGCCTAGTGCTCAAAAAAAACCTCAGAAGCCAGGGAACAAATAAGAAACTTCCAAAGAAATGCGTTTTTAATGGCTTTTGCAAAAATCCTGTGATTTGGCAGCTCAGGGAGGAGTGGAGTCTGACTCATGAATTTTGAGCAGACAAGTTTAGCAATATGCATCAATTGAGTTAAATATTTAGGACCCTGTAAAGACTAGGCTTCTGCTAACCAAGCCAAACTTACAGTGCAGAGATATATTTTGTGGAAATAGTGTTTAAAGTGCCTGTGTCATTGCAGAATCTGAATTTTTGTATATATGCATATTGTTTGTGATTTGTCATTTTGTAGTTATTTATTTTTACCTGTTTACAGTAAGAAAACAGTAAAATAGGCATGAAAATGGGATTGTTAAAGTAAATAGGACTGTGTGAGTGTTCTAATAGTTGTAGCAAGTATTTATAAATTGCTGAAAATACAACTCCCAAACTTTTTGAATTTGTATGCTGGAGAGACACTGCAGGTTAAAACCCATGTGTTTTGAAAGTATATGTCCCAAATTCTGGTACAAAAGTGAAAGAGAGCTGGTTCCAAGCTAGGAATTCTTGCTTATGAGGCATCCCTGAAGAATGAAGGGTTGGGAGAATAAGGCCCTTTAATTAAACCTGCTGTAAATAGTTACTTTTAATTGCATTTACTTATTATTTTCTCTTGTTCACGTTTTTGCATTTCTCTCATCTGGGGTGTTGAACACAGACTGAATGGTCTTCCTTCTGCTTGGAAGTTTTCTAATTTAGAGGTGCTGTGGAGCTGGCCTAATTTGGAGGAGCACTTGGGCGCAGCTAAGTGTTTTTGAGGTGGTCATGTTTATCACCACAGTTGTCTCCTGCCTGTGCCCCCTTGCATGTCGTGGCAGGTTTGGACACTCTATGAGCTGTGACAGCTTTGGGTCCCCTTCCTGASCACCTGATGCTCATGACACGAGACCCAGAGAGCGCAGCTCCTCAGCCAGATAGAACAGGAGGTAATGACACCTTACACCGCCCGTTCTAGATAGAAAGAAAATAATTCAGCAAATTGCAAATGATGCACACTTAACTATTTATGCAGCATCTTCCTGTCATCAACCCAAAGCAATTTTACTTCCGTGTTGAACAGTGGATAAAAATGTTCTATAGATTTAACCATTGCGGGAATTCCTTTTAAGTGGTGCAGTAATCTCTCTCCAGCTAATTTAGTGTTGTAATAAGGCACCACCCTCACAAGTCCTTTGTGTTCTCGTGTCAATACTGCCCCCAAACCAAAAGCGCTGGCATCTGCATCTGTCAGAAAAGTGGGTCTGAAACACAGAAAGACTGCGAAAGGAGCAATATGGCCATCAGCAGGGCAATCTCAAAGGTCTTCTGTTAATTCTGAACATACCTGATTTCATTCAGATTTCCTCTAAAATGAAATTTACTTTCTCAACAAGTCCATGCCATGGTTTAACAGCACTGAAAAATTCAAGGAAAAATGTCCTCGAACAGAAGCTGACTGAGAGATACCAGAATGCTTCAGTACAGATTCAGTTTTGTTCTTGCCCATGAGGGTTCGTTGCCCACAGCTCAGGATTCAACTCGAACCAAATCACCTCTCTAGCTGAGACTGAAGATCCTTAACCAAATACCTCTAAGGAAAAGGTCTCTCCATTTTTCTCTTTTCTTTTTTAAGTGTGCAACACAACAGTGGAAAAAAATCCAAAAGGAATATTTTACATGAATCTCATTTTCTTTCTTATTACGGTTTTCTTTGCCGACATTTACTAAAACCATGAGACCTTACACAGTTATGGTTCCCATCTTCAGTACTTCCTGAACATTAAACAAACAGTTCAGTTGCACAAGATCATTGGCAGCTCAGATTCCACATGCTCCTCCATCTCCAAAGGTTTCATCTGTTTCCAGCATTTCTTTAGCTAGCATAGCAGGTAGTGATGCCATTAGTTGCTGCTCTTGGGGAGAGGATGTCCTGCACACTGCAAACTTAGTGCCCATAAGACATCGGTTCTATTGAGCTATGTATTTCAGATGAATTTCCAAGGACTGAAGTTGTAGGATACCTTTCATGTTGTTTATCATTCAGCAAATAGCAATAATAGCATGCAAACTCATTATTAGGTCTGCTGTCTACAACTCTTGGTTAAATCCAGAAATTTCTCTCTTGAGTCTAACTTCATAACAGGTTCCCCCTTTTGCTCAGAGCCCTCATTTCCAGCCTGGAGTGGGGTGGATGCAGCTGTGGACATGCAGTGTACGGTGAGTGTGTGTCACATCCCCTCGTGAGCTGCTGGGCAGCAGAGAGATGTGAGCAGGAGGAGGTAGTACAAGCCCTACAGCACAGGAGTGAACACGGTATTTAGACTGATGACAGGACAGCAGTTAGTAAAGCATACAGGCTGTGTCTTAACTGCAGAGTAGAGGTTAACGTATTTTATTCACAGCCAGCACATACCCCAGAAAACTCCATCTGGCTATGCTGTGCAAGTGCACCTTGAAAAAACTACGCACCCTTAAAAATTACTCACAGTAGAAAAAATATGCTAAAACGACATGAGAAGGGCATGGATTAAAACGCCATAAGCGGAGAAAGATGTATTGAGGGCTCTAACTTTGTCCTCAGGTCACCCTGCTTGAGTAGAGAGCAAGAGGAAGGACTGCAGAAGTAGTTCCTGCAGCTGATGGCAATTCTCAGGCTGAGACGCCTTGTTGACACCCGCTCAGAGCAGGTGACATGCTTYCCATAGGCCTACATGCCACATTAATTCCTCAAAGGGACATTCAATCCCTGGTAAATGGGGAGCTGACTGGGGTCTAGGCTGACCAAACTACCAAACTGGAGTGAACAGTCACCTATCCCGTGTGGACTACCCAAGAGCCATCAGGCATCAGGACTGACATTTTCCAAACCCAGCACAGACCAAGGTGCTGTCCAGGACCTGTGATTCTGCTTCATAACTCACTGGAAGAATGAAGAAATCACTCCRACATGCTATAAAAGTCCTGAGTATCTACTCAGTTTCGTAATGGAATATTAAAGTAATTGCAGAGGAGGAGGAGGCATTTTTTCAGTTGCAAGTGCAACATTATCCACTTCCATATTTTATCATTGGAGTGGCACAAGTAATCAAGGAGTGTCACGTGATCATTTTTTGTCAAGTGCCTTTTTGTCACAGGCAACTATTTCTTTGCATGTGCCCATTGCAGAAGAAAAAAATTGATTGGATCACCATCATACCCTGCTCCAAATCCTCAGCACAGAGGAGGCATTGCTTCACATTGACAGCAGTGGGGCAAGAATTATTTATATCAAAGAGGATCAAGCCTTGCCTTTTGAAACATCACACTTTGTCTTAGAAATACATATGAGTAATATCACTACGCAAGTGTGTAATAAAATTATTGAAACCTTGAAGACCTAATTAAAGGCCTACAGACTGATACTGACTTTTGGATGGTATAACTGAGCATGTACAAGAATTTACTAAGTTCAGAATCTGTCCTTATCTGTTTTATTTGCCACAAATCTATATAAAGTTTCAAGCAAAAGACTTGGCACTTAACAAGAAACATCCTGCATTTAACCCAGTCCTGTCCCAAAATTTCCCAGTGACTTCACTATTCTGTGTGTCTGGTAGCATCCATTGGTTTTGGGGCTTAGTCCTAAGGGAGACTGCTAAAGGTAACAAATAAATACAGGAGGAAAGAATAATAAATAATCAGCAACAATAATAAAACTGGAATTCAACTGTGAAGTATGTTTGTAATTGTCTGTCTGTGTTAGAAAATAATCAACTAAATAGCAATAAATAATAGAAATTTATATTAACAATTCATTTGTGCTGATACAGACCTTCAAGTTAGAGTTCATTATATTAATTTACTAATTAATTAAGCACTACATCACCTGGCATGTACATAGATTTTATTACACTTTATGGATGGAAAACTTAAGTCTTGCCTAGGGACACAGTGAATCGGTGGCAGAGCTGAACACAGAACTGGAATATCCGCCACAGGTCTAAGTCTGTTTRCAGCATAACGTTGGCCTGATTTTCTGACTAATTTAGTTCAACAGATGCAATTCTCAGTGTGGGGATTTCAATTTGGGTGCAAGATGGAGTTACTTTGTTKGAGCTTAAAGCAGTTCTTAATCATATTAAGCTAATTATATAAAGGCAGTTTTAAAAATATCCTTGTAGGCATTTACATTTTGGGCTATTGACTTAAAAACACACCTTTAATTTAAATGCTGCAATTTTCCTTATAGGTGCCAAGTCACAGCAGTTCTTGAGGTCCTTTCATCCACATTTCACCAGCAAACCTCACATGCTGAACTGAGATGTGCAGTTTTGAGTGTCTCCATCTAAAGAGCGCAAATATTGGTGAGTGCCCTGAATTTGGTTAAAGACAGAGTTGGTGCAATTTAGTCTGGCCTCTTAATAAATGGTTTAAAACTCTTCAAAGTCAGCGTTTGCAGCCAAGTCTCAATGGCGTAAGGAGATGCTCTAAGTGTGTAGAGCTTACTTAATTACAAGAGAATGACCTTCCACATTCCCTCTCCTAGGTATCATGGAACACTTCCATCAGGAAACATTTATCGATGGACTTTTCTGAAACTGCACCACTTGCATTTGGTCACCCGCACCTATGTCATGGGCAAGAGGAGGTGACTTCATTAGCTCTGCCCTGCTCAGGGTCTCCTGTGGTCACACTGGCACTGGGACACAGATACTCCTTGGCCCTGTCCCTTTTCCAAACAGCTCATGCCAGCCTGGCAGGATGCTGCGGGAGTTTCTCACTGGCCCAGTGAGATGGAGGCAAACCAACGACTGCATAAGGAATGCAGGAGAACTGCATGGGATAATGGGAAACATTATTTATAGCCTGAACGCAGAAAACCTCCCCTTCCTCCCCCCTCACCAACAGACAAACCCATGTCCAGTAATGACAAAGTCGTTACCTTTTTATTATTTTTCAATAGGGTTCAGATGTAGCGTGTCTGCTCCTTACAGGCTGTCCTGATGGCTCCAGTCTCCCATCACTCTGGGAACACTCATCTAAACACATCAAGTGGGTGTGGACTTACTAGCCCTGCTTTAGCAAATTTGGGCCTTACCCTCCCAGCAGCCTGTTATCTCACTTATTAAGGGAGAATTATAATGTTTCCCTTCCTCTCAAGAGGCATCTGGGACTACAATAAAGGCCTTGTGAGAACTGCTGCAAGATCAAAGCAGGGATCCCATTGGAGAAGTTCAGCGTAGTGCTGTCCCTGATAAGACATGGTTTTGGGGGCTCTAATAGAATCTGTGGGCTTTTCAATTTTGTTTTTCTAGCACAGATGTTATCCTTGAGAAGAATACTTTTTTCATGTGGAAATCCTAAAATTATATGATCCTCAGATACTGAAAAGGCTGAAATTTGCATTAGATGTATTAGATTTATTAGATTGTATTAGATTTGATGGCTTTACAAGCTTTCCATCCCAGTATCCTGTATACCATGAGAAGTCCCTATTCTGACATATTTTTGCTCAGTATTCCACCCCGATCATCCTCTGAAAAGCTTCCCCCTTCACCTGCTGCCCCTCTGTAACTCCAACACTCCTTTTTCTTCTGGCATTTAATGCCATAGCATGCTTTGTCTTTGATTTTATGCTTTGTAAATGTCCTTCCCTCACTTTACATCGCCAAAAAGACCCCTGTGTGTGGGTCTGATAACCCACGTAGCACCCATGTCTCTGGGATTTATTTTGAGATCGGCTGCTTGTTTATTTATTTCCCTTTTAGCACACCCAGCGAGGCCTGTGTGGAAGGAGATGTGAAGGGAGGTGATTATGGAAGACTATTTCCCCTCGCTGCTCATTCATGACAAACAAAGAGCAGTGATTGATGATTAAAAATGCATTCTCTGGGCTTGTTTTCTTTTGTTTTACCATTATGGAGATATTATAAATACTGAATACTAATCAATCCAGACCTGGCGGGACCTCACAGACCTTCTACAGAGGCTTTGTTCTTCCTTTATAACCTCTGCAGCTTTCTCCTCCCTCCTTTATTTCTAAATTAAAGACCTCCATCCCAACCAAAAAGAATTAAGTTAACTTTGGATGAATTTGGACTGTCTGGGCTCCCGCCTCTTGCCAAATAGCCATACTCTCCCCTGAAAGGATAGTCTCTGTGCCAAGGCACCCTGGCATTTCCCTGCCCGTTTTTGCTCTGCACTACTGTGGAAACAGGAATTAATTCCTCAGATCAAAGGAAAATGTCTCTTATTTAGGAAGCCCAGAGTGCCACAAATTTGCTTTCAAAGTGGATACCTAGTGGGGAGGAGAAGAGATCTGAAAGTCCTCTCAAAAAAAMCTCTCATTATTGGTGGCAGTAAGGCTGGATTCCTCCCTAGGCATTTCTGTGCAAAAGCCAGAGTGCCACATCTTACTCTGCAACATTACACAATGTCCAGATAAACAGCAAACTCGGTGGCGCTTGCATTCTTTTATCTTTATTCAGTCAAATTAACTGCTTTCTCTTTCCCTTCCCACACCCCTGCCCTCACCTCGTTTTCCCTCATTCATGTAAAATAGAGACACTCTGCACTGGCCTCCGCAAAAACGTAATCAAAATCATCTATCCCATCAGAATGAGATTTCTTGTCACTTTGGACTAGACTGTTACTTTTCTCTAATCAGCTATTTCCTGTGAGATTTTTCCAGTGTTCTGCTAAAGTCAATATTAAGTCTCCCATACAACAAAGCTCTGACTGACTCCGGTGTGAGCACAGTTAGGCTGAGGCTCAGCTTTTGCTGAAGTCTCTCCGGAGAGCAGAGTGAGGTTCCTCTTCTGCTCCTGACGGGCAGACCTGAGGTGCTGCCAGGGACATGGGGACACCAGCGGAGTGCAACAGCAAACAGGACCAGGGTTTGACTGCCGGCATAGCTCACATTACAGAAATCTACTACWGTGGGCACTGACATACATTTTTCTTAAGGTGCTTAGAACCAACTCAAGAATAGCTGAGTTCAGCTGGAACATATCAGGAAGGAGAAGGAAGAGAATCTGAGCTGGGCTAGCAAGAAATTTTAGTCTGAACCATATGCCAAGAAACTGCAATATGTGCTTATCTTGAAGCCTGAGGATTTATTTTATGCACATAATTCCCTGATCATCTTGATGTAGCATCTCTTAGGAGGATGGTGTTACACTATCTAACCACCACTGCTGGAAGTTGACAATCTCTCTATCATCTTAAGTTTCTTAAATAATTTTATATATATATATATATATATATATATCTGTGCTTAAGAAATATCAAGGGCCTGATCCCATTGAAGTCTGGGGAAGGACTCTAATCAGTTTCAGTAGGGATTTGGATCAAGCCCGGAGAGGCTCACTACTTTTCTCTTTAAATATTGTATCTCTGCATCACATCTTTGCATGCGACTCTTCCATAGTACACACAGGATCTTCCTCTCCCTTTGAAATTAGTGATTTTTTTTTTCTATGAGAACAGCATTTCTCTGTAATCTGTGTTCAAAAATGAAAGCCACTGCTTGCAAGTAATGAGGCAGCCTAAAATGCCGATTTTTAGCCAATACACGTCATTCCTCTGTTACCAGATTTACCTCTTCCCCTCTTCTTAGAGCAGTGTGAAACCAACTCAGAGTGAAGGGGATTTTGCAGCGGTAATGATAAGTAAATCTACTTCAGACTTTTGAGTTCAGCCTTCAGTCTGCAAGCCGCCTTCAGTTGCAACGTAATTACCACAGTTCACCAACAGATTCTGTTTGCAGACTTGTTTCACCAGATTCAGCACAGATTGATCGAAGCCACTCTGGCAGGCCTCTGCAATGCAAGGGTATCTTTACACAGCTGTCTGTTCAAAGGAAATGTTGTTATTGCCATATTTTCAAGCATACACACTTTCACCCAAAGATCCTAACTCTTCTGGCAGTTTGTTTCAATGATACCACTTAGCATAAGCTTGGCAGAGACAGAACTGCGTGTGTCTGCATGTCTGTATGTATATGTATGCACATGTCCTACACCCACCCACACCACTTACTAATCCCTTGGCTGATGTATTTATGGTTAGTTTGCTTACAAACCACTGCCCTCTGAGGGGCTCACAGCCACCTCCTGCAACCATGGCACACTCTTTTCTGAGCAGCAAAAACCTGCATTTCAGAAAGAGAAAGATTCTGTTTATAACCTGGTTATGGCCAGTGCTCTTTAGGCACCTGTGAAGTCCAGGCCAGACATGGTTTTTTGGCAATTCTACCTTTAAGGTGTGCTCTCCTTGCTGCTTGGTTCATGCACCTCCCAGCCTGTTTCTCTGCAGTCACAGTGAACCCCCAGAGGCCTCAGGGACAGGAGGACACCCCCTTCCCTCTCCCTTTAGCCTCTCTTCTCACACTTCTTCAGAAGRTTTTTCTCTTATTCTTAATTCTTATGAAGGACATGCCATGTTTGGTGTTATATAGCATAGCAAAGCCAGAAAGAACCGCTCTGAAACTGGATTAGAGAATGAGCCAGGAACATTTTCTCTAGAAAAATGAATCTAGAGCCTAAAAATGAAGAGATGAAAATAGCTCCCATGGTGGATTAATTTGCTCGGACTAGAACAGGGGCTGGGGCAATTCTTCAGTCCATGATATTAAAGAGATCGGTCAGAGAGAAAATCACACTGGTCCTAGYAATAAATTAATTGGATTATAAAGTATGATGACACTGTGCAGTACAGTTCTGGTTAAAGATACCCAAGCTACTGCTGAATAAGTACAGCAAGCRGTGGAAAATTATACCAAACAGGCCACTGTACTAATAGAGCCATACTCTTCTGATATCAACTACTCAGGTATCTCTAAAACTTTGAGGTGTACATACATACTAAACGCTGCAACTGCCACTTTGACTGTTTTGTCATTGTACTTCAACACCCTAATCTGTAAAATTGGAGGGGAGGGTGTGGAGATGTGGGGAAGATCATTGCTRCTGTATTTGGAAGGAGCTATGAGACTTATTTGATGTTTTTTAACAGCCCTGAAACCTCATAGAAGGGCAATTTATTGTTCTTATTTTCCTGTGATCACACTATTCCCACTGGGATTGTTTATTTCTCAGCCCTGGGTTTCAATTTATTTCTCATTGTGCTCTGGGTTTCCACATAGAGCAATTTCCACTAGCAAAGACTGAAGGGACTATTTTCCCTTTCTGGCTTCAACTTAACAAATGTACGGGCTGATAAATCCTCTTGTGAAAATCCTACAGGGTGAAGCAAGCCACAGATCAAAGGGAAGGAACATTTGTCCTCTAGTATGATACCAACAGCAGCAGAACCTCCTCACCTTCATAAAATAATCCTTCATAAAAGCTCATGTCCCACCCTCCCACACTCAGCTCCCACATCCAGACTTCTGACTTTGCCACACATTTCTGCCACCCAGATCTGACAGTGTAATCTGGCTGTATTGGCATAAAAAGTTCAATTTCCTTGAGAAAGGCACCTCTGACAGCGGCAGGAAACAAGGAAGCAGAGAGGATAGTACTGGATCCCAGGCTGGCTGGTATGCGGAGGTACCGGTCCTTTGTGAGTTGGGAGAAACCCCACCCAGCTGCAGTTGGGAATGCCATGCAGAGACCAGCCGCCTCAGTGCACTCTCAGGATGCTCAGATCTGTGCAGATTTTGCTTGTCTCTGCTTTGGTCTGGTTCCAGGTAGCTCTCCTTCCTGCTCCAACATCACAAACAWGCTGTACCCGAGACACCTATGGAGATACAAAGGTCACTACACCACGGTGTGTGAGTGCAGAGCTTGTTCCAAGCAGCAGAGACACTCAGCACGACCAAGGAGCTGTTTCCTTATGGTCTTCATGCAATGCATTCAGTCCTGGGAGGAGGTGAAAGCAGTGACCTTCGGTAAGCCCAGCTCAGTCTTGCTCCTTCTGTGTGCTGGAGCCATGACTATAAACACCTC